CCTGATGGTAAACTCAGTCCCAAAAGCAAACGTTCTTCATGTAGAGATCGCACATTGCCTGCACTGAACTCAGAGAAAACCTCTGACAAGGCTATTTTATGACCCTGTAAAGGAGGAAACATGCCCAGTCAACAAAACTGACACTAGTGACGGTAACTTGAGACTCGTACAAGGTTTTGTACTACTTATGAAGACGATAGGACAAAAAAGATAAAGCTCTCGGCATTCATCAATCCCTAAGGGAAGCATTATGCATTCGACTTCACTAAAAATCGTTAGAGGTGATTGAATCCGTATATGACTTATGTAATGGCTCGCAGTAGCCTACTGATGTATCCAGTCAGTGCTGCCATCCTCGTAGACAGGTATGTTATCAACTTGCCGACTCCGGATGGATGGAAAGGTTGAGGTGGGGGAACGATCTCGTCGCCGAACGTCTCTAACCACTGCGTTACACGCCGTCCACTTGTGGAGATACTGCATTGAAATTCAAGCTCAAGCACTATATAAATAGTGGATAGAAACAAACATACCATGCCAAACTACTCAAATTAAACCAGAAACTTAACGACTAACCACCTGTTAGAGCTTTTACAAGGAAATATTGATTCTCAAAAATTACAGTAGGCGCCATTCATAATAGAATGAAACATAAATACAATCTGTTTAACTCATCGAATAGCTGCTGAAAGAAGAGATTATCGAAAATGACAGAAGTAATATTAACAAGTAAAAACAATCAATAGTACGAAAAAATGACGATTCACACATCAAATGTTGCCATTATACCTCTACATGACCACCAGTACGACGCTGCTTGTGCCTTGCAGTAAGTGTAACTCAAGGAAAAATACAAAGGAGGAAAGGGTCACCGTAACAAATTACGATCCCTCATTGCTTGCACTTCACTTTAATGTAAAACTTTAACGGCGATTTTAAATAACGAAGACAAAGAAATAGTCGAGATAATTCCACAGAGACTTGGATACTACGCTCACCAATAGCACTGGCATGAACTGAGCGCTTATTGAGTCCGAACGGGGTAAGTGTTACGAAATCCGCGCACGAGGACATTCTAGAAGGTACACAGGTAAATAAACAATAAAACACGAGGATTAATAAACTATTGACCAGGAACTTACTTCCCGTCAAACGAACAAACGATAATCTTCAGTACTAGTGTAGTTCTGCAGTACTTTAGTAAGTCCGGAAATGCTATCGCAACAGTTTTTCTCAGTGATGTAGACAAAAATTAACTGAATTCAGTTATAGCTGTGACAATTTAGCTCATGAGCACTAACATTTTAACCGCAGTTTTTTTTCATTTGTACATAAACAAACTAGTGGATGATCTTAATGTAACTTTAATAGCCTCTTAACTTCATAAAGTTGAACTTTCCTAGTTATTATCCCAAAAATACCTAATATTTTGTGTGATTTTCTTATTCGAAGATCCAACAATGAAGATATCTCTCAGGATGACCTAGGATGTTCTTGTTCATAACTGAAAATTTCATCCACTCTGTTAACCATTACATTTCTCAATTAATTTCATTGACTGGAGATCTGTTTAGTATTACTTTTAAGTCTTTTGTACCCCATTAGCTATTTAGCCACTGAAGAAGCGACATATCCTATCCTCCTCATCAGCGCCATTACTTCGCTAGTACTATGATTTATTGCAAAGAATATTTCTTAATTATGTCTGTATGCCTGTGTTGTACTGTTAGATCGCAGTAAAAACATAGACGAATACGACAATGCCAGCACAGCTGTGACGAGTCATGTCTCCAAGGCTTGTCCATCATCTTCATAACGGATACTTCCTGTTTGTGAGAAATTTCCGTTAAGAATACAAGTCAACGACTACTCCAGTAAACAAATCGTATGCACATCATTAGACTAGGTATACAGTGAACACAAACGTGATGGTGTACTTCCGTGAGATTCATCTAGTCATCGAGCATTAGGTTGTCCTACTAGACCATTTAAAAGTGACTGTCAGAAGTAAAGCTGACGAAAATCGCACAAGAAACCAACAATGATGATAGTGTACGTTGCAGCTGTGCTGTCTACGCGGATATAGGCAGGTGTGGATAGGTGAATAGTGCATCTTTTGTCTGTGTAATTACCACTCTGCTCCGTAGTAAGACAGGTGCAAATGGAAAGTACTGCGCTACACGTACGCTCTTCTTGCCGTAGAGAAATTGGTGAGGAATTTCGATTCACAGGACTTACATATAGCTCTCTCTTCCTCATTCCCACTCCCGAAGCGCACCACCTTCCTCGGCGAAGGACTTTTTTCGACTGCAATGCTTAACGAAGAGTCTGACAAACTATCGAAATGTTTAGGATGGATATCGATTAGCAGAATGTGTGATGTTTAATACAGAAATTTATGAAATGTAGGGTGATATGTTTAAATCCAGAAGAGGTTGGAATCGTGGAAAGTCAGGATCACCTGTGGCTGGAAAGACGATGTAATTCGCCATCTCAGGTGGATAAGTGGTTTTTTTCCTAGCTTTAATCTGTCATGAATCTGCCAAATATGATAGCAGCTAGCCGGAGACAAGTTCGCAACCCTTCCATCCATGGAATGTTGGCATTGCGCAGCGAATTCCCCGGAGAATTGAGACGTTCACCAATTTTCCAATAACGGGCTACACAGATAAATGTCGGAGAAGTCAAACCGAGTGTTTTTTCCCTGTCCCAGGAGATGTCTCCGAAAAACCACAGATTTCAAGCGTTCCAGGATGCTACCTCTCGTAATAGGTGAAATTTCTGGAACAAATGGACCAATATAACAGATCGCTTCCGATTTCGAATAAATGAGACAACTAAGACCATATTCGCTCTTCACCGCAAAAAGTATCTTAATATGTCACCGGTCCACTCATGCTTAACTCGACACGGACTCCGCTCCACCTACAAGCAAAAACAAATGCCGATTTCACTCCGTGTCGAAGATCTTCCAAGTATGTAAATCTTTCGTTGGTGGCAAAATAGAAGTTTCGTTAATGTGTAGGATTCTGTACTGTATACATTGATAGAGACAATGTTTAGATTCATTCTGAAGTCTTCAACTAACTGTGTAAGTTGTTGAGAGGTGTGTAAGCCATCCACGATGATGATTTGGATATCTTCCATGAATACACAACAAGGTCTAGCTACCAGAACAATTTAGATTCAAGTGTAAATTGAAAACATCAATTAAATAAGCTGTTTCACCTACAATCCTTCCTTAAACTTCACAGCTTCAGTATACATACGTATATACATATGTATATATACATATATATGCATATGTATATATACATATACATACATATATATATGTATGAAGACTGTAGAAAAAGGCTAAAAATGATACCATGGAATAAACAGGAATACTTCGACCAATGGCAAGATACAAAAAAAACGGTAAATAACATAGCACATAGATATCACATTAAGTTATATACTACCGAACAGAAATAAGTCACAACTTAGAATTTGGAGATCAGAAAACTTAAGTGTATAAAGAGCAACATTTCAGAAGAGGTTTTTATACATAGAAAACTACATGGATATAGACGACCAGAGGGTAGCGAGTTGTTTGGTCACACGAATACGTGGCGCGTCATAAGCGGGATGGTTGGTGAAACACGTATAAAAGGAGGCATGCTTTCAGAACTACGAGCACGCGGACCCAATATATGAGTACATCAGGTGTGGATTGATCTCTTCTTTCTGCAAGTACTTTAACAATACTCTTGGAAAACGACACAAGCCTTCGAGAGTACGCAGACCGCGCCTTGCTCTTAAACTTGAACAGAAGTCAGCGATGAACCCCATGACAAGTACATGAGAGATAACTGAGAATCGCATCCAAAGGGAAGAAGCGATACACGTTAAGTCTGGAATATGCCGACGAGTTAAGGTGTTAATTTTCGGTACTCTTCACGGGAGGAGCTCACCAACCAGCACTACCACATGCCAGCGACAAAAACAGTCTCTGCCAGCACCCGTCCGAATCATTCGAGACGTTCAACCATTAACTTGATTAAAATTAATACAAGTAATATAAACTCGTAGTATTCACGGCCGTGTTGACGATAACATTGACGTCGCCGTCTCCCGTATTGTCGTATGTGCCGAGGAGCAATTCTTCTCCGTCGGGAGAGACTGCTTTAAATAGGCAGCAACCTCTCGTCTCAACCAGCCCAATAAGCCCGATGAAGTCGTGCCTGCCTTATCCTTCTAGCCTGCACGACGAACTCCTCTATAGAGGACCCCAATGCATTTTAGCAGCCTCTCAGTACTCCTACTGCCCAACGCTTCCGTATCGGGGCTCTTTCGGGATCAGGGAAATGCGGCCTATTTATTTCACCGTGTTTAGCGTTTGAAAACCATATTTACATCCTGTTGAGCTCTGAACATGATGGCTGTGTATACTCACGAGTAGCTCGCCAGTCTCTCCCAGAGCAGACAGAGTTTATTTGTTGGAGCAACTCCTAACGGCCTCCCCTATACTTCCTTGTCAATTGATTTCAAGCTTTTGGCAGAATTAACTCGTGGAATATAATCCGCGTGAAGGAAAACACATGTACGCAAGCAAAAATGGATAACACCTGAAAACCTCGTAAACACAGAAGGGATGTGCCAAATAGGCGCATCAGAATCAGTGAGTCTATCCTTGGATACATCTGCGTCTCAGAGATGCAAAAGTCGCTTTTGGGCCACGATTAAACTCCTATCCTCCACCCGATAACGCGCCACGTTCCTTCACGACTAAGCGCAACAAATCCCTCTATGAGAGACATTCGTGCCGCCCGGTCGAGTAGTTCGAGCATCAAGGGACGGCAGGTAACAGGTGACAAGTGACAAGTAGTATAGAAAATTATAAAAACTACAATAACTCGTAAACTGGACGCTGCATAAGAAACAGAGTTCACATCGAATTCGTAACAGGATACGCAGGTACAGACAAGTTACGGTCTGAAGTTGAAGACGACAACAATCTAGATCGTTGGGCTCCAGGTATCATCCGAGAATCTGAACTTTGAAATCTTGCGTGGTTGATCTTTAGCAATAAGGAATATCTCTGCAACATTGAACAGAAATGAATGGTTCCGCTCACAAAGTAATTGACTGAACTCACATCTAACAAATATTCTGGTTTGACCGCCACCTTGAATATAATTACTTGCATAAAACAAAGCTGTAATGACGAATAGGACAGCCATTGTGATAAGAACCATCGCAGTATCTCGCTTCCTGTCTTTTTTCTCAGCACATGCCCACACGTCATTCCACAAGTGGAAAGTATCATTCATCTGAACAGATTTCTACCTTCTGCCAAACATCTTCATGTTACAAGGCAGTCACAAATAACTGTCCAAATAATAGGAGAGCCTCGGTACCTACGTTCAAAACACGTTTCACGCTTGAGAAAGCGTAAAAATCAGTACTTCCTAAGCGTCTTATTTTCCTACCGATCGCAATTTAAACTAATTATATCAAGTATGCCTCAGCGAACTCATAAAGCAGAATGCTAGTGTAGTCGCTTTCTATTCACTGCCTCTTTTTTTTCATGATAGGGTACAATGTCTTCTGTAACCGAACCGGGTCCAATGCCGACGTGCGCTCCTCAGATCAATCCCATTGACGGGCGATTGTTGATAACACGTATAGGTTAAAAATACAACTGAGAGAACGGCGAAACAAAGGACCCGCACGGTGTGGTGGTGAATACGTTAGCCAGGGTAATAGCAAGTTCAAACCTCATCGCAGACACCTGCGGTCCGGAGTTCTGCAAATATCTCAGCAGTATTGTGGCTATAGGACACTTATGTAACATCAGTTATCGTATATACAGAAACTCATACCGTTCCTTTTCAAAACTACACTGGAATTCCACCGCTAATGCATCGTTAGTCAGTTGTCAGCGCAACTTTAAAGCGAGTATACCAAAATTTTGCAGTGGGCTTTCAAAAAGATAAGCTATCAGACTAAATTTGGAGCCGCTACAGCAACATTACAGTAAAACATACCGTAGTCTCAATGTCGACACAAAATTCAACGTTAGGCTCAACGTAGATATCCCAGTAGTAGGAAAAGACATCGTCGAAATATTCTTTGCAGTAACCACAGATGCTATTGTTTCGGTCAGTAATATGTCTAGTATAGTTCACAACACACTCTCGCCAAAGGAAAAGCTTCTCCTGCACAATAACTTCTTTTCAATAAGTTAGATTATCACAATTCCTTTACAGATTAGAAAAATAGAACGATTGTCTAGGTGTTGTATCTTATAGAACCACACAAAACCACCTACTTGGAAAACTAATGTCTGGTTAGAAAACTCCACTCTGGAATCATTGGCCGTGAAATTCCAGGCTATAGTGAGACAGGCTGAAATGCTATTATAAAGTACTAGAAAACGTAGATATCATTAAAAGGAGTGCACTGAAAACCATAAAGGAACACACAATGACATCTCGATTTTTCCCATACATTAGATGACAACGCTTCCGATATGTCGTAACTATATGACAGTAGGTAGTCCTCGTATATCACCTGGCTACAGGTTCTGTTGTCGAGTGAAGTAACGTTGTCCTAAAAGTGTAGTTAAGAAGAAGAAACACCAACACAAAGTAGGATAAAAAGAATTCCAAAAACTTAAGCGCGTAAGTTGTTAGTTTCTACATAATAAAGCTCTACTTTTTAAATTTCCATTCACCCTAAAACAGAACAAAACCAGTTGAAATCTTTGCTAAAACATCAAATTACGAGTAAAATGTGAATTATAACCACAATGATGGAGAGATCTTTGCAAAACACTGGTGTCTGCGGTGAGGACGGAACACACTATTACCCTTTCCGATGGCTAAGGCGTTCACCACCACATCATACGAATCCTTCGTTTTGGCTTCCTCCCAGCCGCGTTACTGACTTACTAGTGCTATCAGCAATGGGAGTTGGAATGGGAATTGTATTGCTGCACGGACGACTCGCGTTTCGTGGGCGTGGACCATTCAAGTGCTAAATAACAAGGAAAACCGACCAGGTGTTTAGTCTCATACTCGACTTGCTTGAACGCAATGAATTGCTCCCAACAGTTGGTGCATACTTTTGGCGGAATCGACCAATTCGTAGCGCACCTGACCATGTTGGACTGTACAACAGCAAACTTCTAAAAAAAAGTTAGTGAAGTCAAGAAATTCACAAAATGTTTGGATCATTACCAAAGAATGAGAAGAAAAATGTCTCAATCTTTCGCTGTATGCTTCCTGGATTCTTCTCGGGTGGAACCTATTTTAACCTTAGTTAAGATGGGGATTCAAAATAGAGTTATGAGGGGCAAGAAGTTAAATATCAATATATAAAGTGAAGAAGATATAGGACATTAACTTGAACATATCAAATGACATTACGATGCTAGTGCACAACCTAACCACACCCAAGCTCTGAAATCTCAGCATTGATCCATTAAAGAAGTTAACGTTGACTAAAACTCGTATATAATGCTGAGATATTTGCAAAACTTCGGACCGCAGGTGTATGCGGTGGGGAACGAACACGCGCTATTGTCCTTTCCGGGGAGTAGCGCACTTCACCACCACACCATCCGGGTCCTTCGTTTTGCCTGACTCTCAGCTAGTTCTATTGATCTTTTGCCATCAGCAATCACCCGTCAACGGGACCTGCGGTCCGGAGTTTTGCAAATATCTCAGCATTATAGACGAGTTATATTTCGCAACATACCCTGCCAATCAAAAGAAAAAGGCAGTAAATAAAAGGGTTAAGATTGTGATTATAACTAAGCCTGAGCTTAACTGGGTTCAATGCCGATTTGGGCTCTCCAGATTAATCCCGTTGACGGGTGATTGCTGATGGCAAAAGATCAATAGAACTAGTTGACTAAAACTTTCCAAAATTATTTCACATTTGAGTTTAAATACGGCAGTGATAATTGACTTCACCTGTACCACACACACGACTACTAATAGTCGACTGAGATGAAAAGTCAGTCAACAGTAAAGCATGAACTGACTTTAATACATGAGTAGACTCCTTTCGACATTGAACCGTGAAAACTAGCCTCCCAGTGGACATATTAGTTAAAACAAAAAAGAGAAGAACCAACACATTCTTGTTAAGAAAGTAAGCTCTTATATTCCAGCGAAATTATTGCAATTCTGATGTTTTAAAGTAAACAAAACGTATTCTCCATCAAGTGTCGACACGACTCGAATGAATCCCTCAGATGGGCTGGTGATCAAGGAATTATTGTCAGTTGTGGAAAACGTCCGCCGGCCTAATCCTTTAAAGTCCCTTACCTTATAGCATATCTGGCTGCACCGAAGTAGAATCGGAACACACAAATGGTCGACTAAACATCTTCCCACGTGTACCATTCACTTCAACACAGCGTTTTCATTAACAAAAGTGCTACTGCCTGCAGAAAAGCAAAAGAATCCCATCGTGAGGAAGGGCCGAAACATTCCTTGAATCCGCCTGCGTCGCAACAGAGGTGTTCACTTTTGGTCTTCGTTTAACAAACAACAACCAACAAGAACCGGCTTGAACCTAGCCTGCAGCAAATGTTAATACAGAATAAGAAAACGCTCTATCTAGGACTGACGATTGTTTGTACCGAAGATTTGAGAACGCTTTGAAGCGGGTTTCACAAAACTTAAACAAAAAAATCCTTGTCAACACTCATCTGAAGTTTTCACGCCTCAGCTCTTCTGAACACTAAACAACATAGCGCGTTTTATTGCATAAGTCTGTAAATGTTACAAAATTTCCCACAAGAAAAGAAACTTTGCGCACTTGAGGCTCACAGCAAGTTACAAGCTCACCCTAGTTGCTTGTATTCGACAAGTTAATCAGAAAATGAAGTTGTATCAGAAGTTGCAGAAGAGTCAATCCATAGAATTAACTCTACATAACAATTTCGTAAAATGAAGATAGTCCTCAAGAACTCACCTCGACGTACACTTGACATGGTCCGTCAATGTCCCAAGGGTCAGCTCTAGGAATGAAATTGCCAAGCGCGTCTTTAGATGAGAATAGTTGAAGGAAGAGCACTAGAAATAGATATGCAGGAACCATAGAGACCATGCCGTCTAATGTTCATCGGTGATGAACTGGAGAATCCAACATAGAAACTTCTTCGTCTCGTAATGCACCCCAAGTCGAGTGAACAAACGGCTTTCAGAGATCTGCACTTTACTTCCAAAGGTAGCACTTTGGGAGAAGATCGTGTTTACACCTTTAACAATTTGAACTCGTTAAACAATGACTCGGGCAAAGAGGAAACAATCTCATTTCGTCAGCGACTCCTGCTCTATCGTAGAAGCTCGCTCCATTCTTAGTGGAATTCCACCGCGTCCTTCAAATGCATTCGCTTCGTTGCCGTTCCAGGTGGTTCACCCTCGATTCCCTTCTCTATTCCGGAAGCATGGCTTTATCCTGGTCAACGGATTTTTTTCGTGTTCTAACGTTAATAGGTTTTAGCAGTTATCTAGATCGCCGCCTTTACTGGGGCGACTGTAGTGCTGTGTTCAGAGGGGCCACGCAATACACGTGGGATCGATCCGGCCCGGGAGCGCGCCAGGGTCGCCAAGCCTTCTATCCCTCCGGTGTCAGAAAATTGGTACCAGACTTGTCTGAGAGGATAGCAGCACTGACTCGATAGGTCGGTGGGCCACCGCTGGTCATTTTATGGGCCAGATATGCATTCACCTATAACGATTTTTGGTCAAGTTGAATGCGTGATGCATCCCTTGGGGATTAATTAGCGCCTAGAGCCTTATTCTTTTGTCCCTTTTTACCGCTTTTGTTAGACTAGTTCTGATAGTTGGTACTGAAGCCGAAGAATCACAGGGAACGAACTTGCTTTTTTCCTTTAACTCATTCTGTAGTACTATGACTATTCGAATGTCAAATTATCTTCGTCTTTTCTTCTTAAATTTCCATCTGCACTATTTATGAAGCCGCACAATCATTGGATGATTCGAGCAAGCACCAGTAAGGTGCTTCTTTTGCCAGTGGGGCACCATAGCTGTATTTGAACTGGGATGCCATTTCTCATTTCAAGTTTCATCCCGTACAACTTGGTGAACTAAGCCTGTCCGAAGGGCAGACAGCTTTCACACTTTTTTGCGTGAGACTCCACATTTTTGTTGTTTTTGGCTGGTAGAAGCTTTTAATTGATTTGACGCACTCCTGCGATGGAATGGCTTATCGCTTCAACTCACCTATGGGTTGCCAGTGAGAGTAGTTAGACCGTACTGTTACGTAAAGCGCATTCCGCTTGTAAGCCAGTAAACCCACCCGCATGTAAGTAAATCTTTACAGCTAATCAGGAAACCATTTCTGTAATCCATCTGCATCCGATGGCAAATGTTTGTATCCACTAATACTTTTGTCGCAAGTGCTAAGCAGTCGATGAATAGTATGCCGGTTTTGTTGTGTTTTCTAGCTGCATTTCGATTTTATGGGTCTACTATTAGCATACTTCTCAACGGTTTGCCCCTCATTGTGGCTAGGAGGTGTTCCTGGGTGTCGGGCTGTGATGTACAGTGGTGAGTTTCGTCCTCCTGAAAGGCCTCCCAAGCTGCGGAGGAGTCCGGCGTTTCTATCAGGAAGTCGTGTTAAGAGTGAACCAATACCAGTATCCACCACCGTCCTGGTATGTAACTAGTCGCATGATGGCAAATCTCTCACTGGTCCACAATGGCTGGCGATTACGTCCGGTGGTGACTACCTGGGGCAGAGCTTGGCTAGGCTGACCTCAGGATTCCAGCGAGCCACAGCGGTTAAACCAGCAAAACTCTTGAAAATGGTAATTTTGCTAGGGCTCGCTCAACTAGTGAGGACGGACCGTATAAGTATCCTAGTAAGCAGGCCCCGGAAAGGAAAATCGTGATTCGATCCGGTCCGGGTTCCAAGTTTTGCTAATATCTCAGCATCGTTGTGGTTGGTTTCGAATAACACTCTGCCAATTTTAGTAGGCAATAGGTAAGAAAGTATAACGTATCCAAGTAAGTATTGTTGGCATATCCGTATGTGGAATCTATGTCTCGTGGAGGTGCTTCGGTTTTCGCTTCAAATAAATACTGGAGTACTAGATACATCAAATCCATGGTGTATGCAAAAGAGAGACTGCAGTAATTGGCTCTGATGTCAGCTATATCGAGAAGCTCGTGTCTTCCATGACCTTATAACATGTGCTCTGTTCAGTCCCGTTTCTCCACAGCTGAATATGGCCTTTCCTTCTATTATAAAAGCATAGCAAGATTCTCTACCAGCGGTGCACTCTGTGATGTTACGCTGCGGTGTATATTGTGGCGTCATATTGTAGTATTCGAGAGAAATTCTGCTGGTTGAGAGTCTTCGTTTTATCCTCACCTCAGATTCGAGATCAAGGCAACGATTGTGTTAATAAGG